ATCATTTTTTGGGATTTTAACATGTTTATTACTTTTTCTCCCAAATCTGCTTCTTATCTGCAATTTACTATTTGTTTACACTAGTGAGGCCATCAAGATGTCCACTACATCCCAGAATGCAACACATAATCACATGTGATCCCAAGACCTATTGGGTTTAAGTTTGTTTTATAAAACTTTTGAGCAGCACTTAGATTCTACAACACGCATTTAAGTAACCTATTTAAAAGATTTTTGATAGCAGTAAAAAAAAAATTGTCCAAAATTTTTTACCTTTAACTTTCATTTTGTTAATAAATGAAAACAATAAAAATCATACAGTCAGTCAGCATATAAATAATGCATCTTAATTGATTTACCACCAGTGATATTTGCTCTTTTTCCTAAGCACATAAAACGTTTTAAAGTTTGTTCAAAACAATAAAATCTTGTATGGAAAAAGCACTTGTTAAAAACTAAAACGACTTTTCTGTATGCACAACAGAACTAGAGCATGTAAGCATAACATAGTAGCAGATTGATCTTTTTAACAGAATATTTTAGATTTTTGATAAACGTTTCAAAGACTTGAATGCAGTTTAAAAGTGGAAATGATCAGATTTCTTTAGACTTGATCAGCTTGCAGTTGCCAAGAACAGCCAAGCGACAGTTTCTCAAAATCGTGTTTAAATGTCCTTAGAGGGAGGTGTTTAGAGATGAAAAGCTGGTGAAAACGGATTTCATCAGCAGAATGGTGCTAGCTTAAAGTTGCAATTCTAGATTTTACAATATAATTTATTTGTTTTATTATTAAACATAACTTGGTATACCGATGTTGTTTCCATGAAGTTCTCTGCCAGTTTAATCTGACAGAAGTAACAGTAAACACAGTATTTATCACATGTTGGATAAAATCAGACAATAATGGAGGAAATGGATGGATAAAATGAGGGACAGCAGCAGTTAGAGAAAGAGAAACTAAAGGGAATCGGGTAAATGCATGCAGCCTTTACAGCACTCCATCATTCCCTCATCTTTCTTCCTGGTTTTCTCTCTCTCTGATGCTCTCTGATGTCCCTCTCTCCCTCCTCTCATCCATCTCTTCCTTGCTCCCTCTGGCAGTCCATTAGGCCTGCGCCGCCCCCGTCATCCATTTAACCTGTCAGCCCCGGATATGGCACCTATTTCAGAGCCACTCGTGTTCATAACCAGGCAGGCGGGAACCATAGTAAGAGCATCCACGTCGCTGCTGAAGGCCCAAGAGTTCAGTTTCCATAGCGGTCAGGTCACAGAGTGAAAGCCCTCCGTTAGAGGATTGGAGGTTTGGTCCTTGTGGGGCAAAGTGTTTATTCCATGTTTCAAGGTTTTCACACATCGGTGTTCCCTGCACTCTTTAAGTGAATTCTTTGTGGGTTGCTGGGATTCCTTAAACCTTCACAGACTTTCTCACGTTGGGAATTCAAAGTTATAGTCTGAATTCAGGAACCACATCCTCCATGTGTGGTGCTCACTGGTTCTATGGTGGTTGCCAGTGGCGGCTGGTGAAAAAAGACCCTCATTGTATATATGTATATATAAAAGATCCCCCTCTTAGTCAATTAAAAGCTTTATAATGAACCGTTGGAAATGACAATTCCAAAATGATCATTTTTGTCCCTTCAACCAATTCATCTCTTAGATTTATTTATCAAATTTACACATAAATTATATTACAATAATACTCAAAAATAAACAAGCAGACTTATTCACATTTTATTTTGACATAGGTTTGTTTTCCAGCTTGTCTGTGTCTCATTTAATCTTCTGCTCAAAGCGTGTGCACCTAACATTTAAATACTCAGTTCCACCAGTAGGTGGAACTAAAACAACATAGAGATAGTTTGAACATATAATCACAAACATTGAGAACATATAAACAAATTTCACTTCAACATTTACAGGTTTGGGTGTAAGTTCTGTCTGAATAAATCAAGTGTGTTATTGTGTGAATGACGGAGTGAGAGAGAGAGAGGGGGAAAGAAATCCACCACCTTCTAGCATGCTAGCTAGCTATTTCCTGTAGCACGGGTGCCATCGCCTAATGCTTTAGAGGCATTAAATTTAGTGATGCTGACTGGCCAAAGATGCTCTTCTTCTCTGTAGCAACCAAATGTGATTGGCTGTTAAGCTGCAGTTCGGGGGCACTTTTCCCAGTGCCCCAGGAGTGATATTAATGAGAAAAGCACTTTTTAATGAGAGAAAGCTGGTGAAAATTATGTGTAAATAATTCTGATTACATGTACGCAATTAGGCAAAAAAAGACACATTTATAGAAAATATATGTTATAGATTTTATTTAACTTTTTAGATTTTTTTCCTCCCTTCAAGCCAGGGAGGGCAGCACTTTAGCACCCCCTATGGATGAGCTGCCACTGGCAGTTGCAATGGCCCAGTCGACCACTAATTCAAAGGTTTCCACTAAAGTTCAGGAAATTCTAGGTGTGGGAAAATTGACCGGAAGATTTGGTGGCTAAGCCCCTACAGTTGTTCTGTCTCCAAACAAATCCAGCCCATTCAAGATTTTGCTAAGACGTCAGCATATCTTGATCGTTTTGGCAGTGTTTGATGTCACTGATCAGTGCCAAAAGACGTCCACAGATATTAATAACATTATGCATTTTATTTTGTCAAAGCGCATCATAATTTAATCCATTAAGAGGACTGGGAGAGCGGCTGTTTGATGTTAAATGTAGCATTCAATGACCAGAAGAAGCGCAGTTTTTTTACAGTGCTCTGTAAGTCAACAAAGCCCCGTGAATGTCGACATTGTTGGGGGAATTTCTGCTGCATTTTTAGGAGTTGGGAGTTTAGTTACAGAGATTTTAATGCAACGTGGCTCTGCTTATTTTCTTTTCCTTCAGGTCCGTTCCGTTTCACCAGCAACTCCTCCAACTTAACAAATGCCGATTTATTTATTTTTTGGGCGACGTCTGTCGATGTCATTTCCTACTGAGTTACAACCAGTCAGCATGAGTAAGAACTACCTGGTAACTACTGAGCCATTCCGAGTGTTCTGGTACTCTGTTGGTTCCTGAAAATGGTCCTTTTGGTCGACCCACTGAAAGGGAAATACTCACATCCTGCAAAGTTACGGTAAAAGTACCCTGAAGTTTTTATATTGGAAACGCACCTAAAATTTACCCAGATACCTGGAGAAAGATTTTGGAGATTCAATTGTGAATTTGATTCCACTCAAAGATAAGTGTGTCTTATTTAAAATGAAATGTCATGAAATTAATTTTAATTCAGAACAATTTGGCTTGAAAAAGCTCTTCAGATAACGAAAAGCCAGAGGTTGATCTTTGTTAATTGGACTGAAATCACTGTCAGGCAAAAGTCAGAGGGCTTTTTGCAGCACTGACCTTCACAGCTGACTGGAGAGGCATCTCTTAGATAACCCACAGCAGAGCTTTAATACTCTCTGGGGAACACTAAGAACCGTGAGGATGTTTCAATCCAGTCACAGACAGCAGGAAAAGTCACACGTTAAGCCTTGTTTTTCTGCTCTTATTTTAAAGTCTTTGATTTGTGTTCTTCTGCATTAAATTAAAGAATCTCCTGAATCGTAACCAGAGTTTAACCAGCAGGTCTTACACTCCATGGGTGTTTAGGGTTGTAAGGCTACTGTACTTCACTGCTGCAACTGCGGAGTCGAACTGTGTGGGAGGAAAGCCGAGCAAGAGAAAGATGAGCCTGTCCTAAAAACTAAAATCGCTATAACTCGCCTACAAAACGCCTATAGGGACCCCTGTTGTGTTGGTGGTAAGCAGCAGTGAAAATTTCCTTGTGTTTAATTGCTTCCTACAGTGTTTATATATTTTATGCATATTGCACCACCTTGTCAAGCAATAATTACTCATGTGGGTGGATGTCTGATAAGCAACAACTTAATGCTCATTAAATCACAGCGTACCACCACGTATACGCCATCTGCTTATGTGATGGTTTTCATGCTTGAGTATGCATTTTCCTCTGAAAACCCATCTCCATTCACGTAAATATAATTAAAACTGTATTTAAAATAGAAATATTGGTGTTGATTTTATAATTTACTATATATATATATATATATATATATATATATATATATATATATATATATATATATATATATATATATATATATATATATATGTGTGTGTGTGTGTGTGTGTGTGTAGGCTAATTTTCTAATTTTGGTTGATTTATACACAAAAAACAATAACAACTCCAGATCTCTGATTCTAATATTTGATGAGCAGTTGAGCTTATCCTGCTAAACACTGAAGACTTTTTACCTGCTTTTATTTTCAGTGTTACACCTGGACATTCTTTGAAAATGTAGGTGAATTATTTAATCTGTAAATTAATGTAGTTCATTTAGTTTTAATTTAAAGGTAAAATATGCTAGATGGTTAAAATGACTGATTCTAGAATTTGAATAAGGATCTTAAACATAGTTTGCTTCAGATTATCATTCATTGTAAAGGAGAATAAAGAGAACTGGCCCTGTTTCTCCTTATTTCTCTTTTTATGTTTCACATGTAAACATTTGGTTATCTGAGGAGAGGTCTGCAAAGGTCCAAAAAGTCAGATTTGAGTCTTGATTTTGCACCCTCACCTCTCAGAATGAATTTTTGACAGTTAAAAAGTTTTTCATTTTGCTTAACCAGACAAATGCTTTAATAATTCATTCCAACAGCACACTTGAGCAGGTCTGCCCTTAATTCAGCATGTGAAACTGCAGGGATTAAAAAGAATTGTTCAAAAATCCATTTCATTTGAACTTTGTGGACAATTGACAATAGACTTCGTGGATTTAGATTAATCTCCTGTAAGTCGTATTATTGGAAATTACATAATTGTATTTTCCGTGGGAGGCAAATACAGTGAAGAGGATGTGAGCATGAAACTAAGTCAGATGTGAGCTGCAAACATGTCTCTGGCCCCCTCGTTTAAACAGAACAATCAGAAGAGAACAGAAGATTTTATCAGATGCTTACCTGAAACGTGTCCTTTGATCAGCTCCTCGTGTTGCCTCACATCTCTGAAAACAGCAGCAGCAGCACCCCAGTTTGATCCCACTCGATGGTCCTCCCCACTCCCCTCCCTTCCTGCCCCTCTCTATCCCGGGACTTGGCCCACCTCCTCAGAATAGTGCTTCGTTAAACTCTCGATTCACCATAACCGGGTCCTCCGAGTCCGAACATCCTCCTCCTCCCGTGCGGATGTGACGGTCCCGTGCTCACAAGCGAACCATCCCCTGCATCAGCACCGTCTCACCATCCTCCACGCGGCTTTTTGTGTTCATTTTTCCTCCACCACTATACCTCCATTATCTCGTCATCCTTTCACCTCCACATCCTCACGACGCGCGTCAGACTCTGTCCCGCTTCCGCTCTCTCTCTCTCTCTCTCTCTCTCTCTCACTCTCACTCTCACTCTCACTCTCACTCTCACTCTCACTCTGTGTCGTGGTGTCCGTCCGTCCTGCAGCCCAAAGTGTGTCGAGCCCGGTAGGAGAGGCGCGTGATCCGACGCAGACAGGAAACTCCTCCTCACCGGGAAACGGGGCTTTGAAAACTTATCCTGGTTGGATCAATTGAAGCTACAGAAAATGCACCTGTAACCTACATTTATGCTAGTTGGAAATAATCATTTTTCATATGCGCGAAACGGAAGTATTAGTCCATTCCAGCATTTTTTTATTATATAAATAAAATACCAAACGTGTCTCGCATATGGTAGCTTATAGCGCCCTCTAGCGACGAAGTGATGATAATCAGAACAGGGATTCCTGCTAATTAACCAATTTTTTTTTACTAACAAAGAAAAAAAACTATAAACATTTTTTTTCAGCTGGCAGCTTTCTTGGTGAGATTTCGTTCCCTGGTTATCAGTGGGAGAGGGGGTGGGGGTGTGTGACTACTTAGGACTTTGTGATATTTCAGTTTTTCTTTTTTTATACCTCTGCAGAAATGTCTAAAATTCTGTTTTTCTTTTTATATGGGATGCTGTGTGTACATTAATGAGGAAAAAAACATTTAATTGATTTTAGCAAATGGCTGCAATATTACGAGTAAAAAATTGAAGGGGGTCTGAATAATTTCCATTAACACTGTAGATGTTCCCCAAACTTTCAGCCTCTTTGTCGAAAAACATTCCTTGAACGTGGGTGGTAAACCACATTTACCCCCATGGCAGCTGGCAAACTAGAGAAAATTTGATCATATCCTGTTTATAATGTGGAGTGACAGCAGGAACGGCCAATCACACATTAGCAAGTATCAGCTGAGCCAAGAGATGAGCTTATGGATAGTTCTATTTGGAAACAGGCTTCGACACAAGCAGTTGTTTTCTGCTTGGTCCCAGTGTCTATTTAATATAGAGCAATATAGTTTTCAGACTGTAAAAAGTTCTGGGGGAAAACATGGACTTTGGAAAAGGGGGGGGGGATGCCCCCCTCAAAACTACGTCCATGCCGTACATAAATGCATACATACATACATATATGGACTCTCTTGGAAAGATAGTATATTCCTTTCAGAATGTCTATAACACCTGTATGCTGATGACATTCAGCTGTACTGCTCCTTTAACGAGTTCTATAAACTGTCTGAACTTCTAGAGAACTTCGGCTATAACTTCCATCAGTGATCATTGACCCTGAGAGCATGCTTTCTCTGATTAGCCAGCAGCTTGGTCATTTATCTTTGCCGTCAAGTCAAACTTGAGGAATTTGGGTGTTGTTACTGACCAATCAATGTTTCTTGAAGGCCACTCAAAAATGCTGGATCAAAACTGTTTTATCATTTGAGAAACATCTCCAAACTGTGAGGGTTGGTGCCAAAACATGAACTTAAAATAGTTATCTTTGCCTTTATCTCCTCCCATCTAGATCACTTTAATACACATTTGACATGTTTTAACAAAAAATAATTAAAAAACTAGACCACCTTCCATTTTTGTTTTTTTTAAACACAGCCGCAAATGAAATGTCAGCAAGGTAAAGAAATGCCTTATCTGTGTTAAAAAAAAGAACCAAAAATGGAATTTGAAGACAAACACAACAAGAACATACAAAAGATAACTAGACCACCTTTTGTTGGTCCAGAACTCTGCAGCGAGGCTCCTAACTAGAACAAACAGGAGAGCTCACATTACTCTGCTGTCTTTGCACTGGTTACCCATTAACTTTAAAATTCATTTTAGAATCCTGACTATTACTTTCAGGGCTCTACATGGTCAAGCTCCTCCTTATATTACTGATATGCTCCAACCTGTGCCCTCAGGTCCACAAACCAGAATCTTCTAGAAGTTCCAAAGACCAGATATAAAAGTCAAGGTGATCGCTCTTTCCAGACTGTTGCAAGCCAACTTTGGAATGAACTTCCTTTACTTTTTTAAATGTAGACAGTCTGATCACCTTTAACCCTCCCACTGTCCCATTGGGTGACCCCGTGAGGAAAGCTGACCAATTAGCAGGATCGATGGCTTATCCCTTGAGGTCCACGAGGCAGGGGTGAGGTGGTGCTCACTCCTCACCCCTGCTACATGGACCCAAGGGATAATCTATCAACCCTGCTCAATGGTCAACATTTCATCGTGGGGTCACACCCATTAGGACAGTGGGAGGGTTAAACAGCAGCTAACAACCCTTTTATTTAAATTATTAGACCAGACTGTGGCTCAAGCTAGTTGTGGAAAAATATACTGAACATACATTTTCAATAAGTCAAACATTTTTTAGACACAAGCACTGTTTTATAAAGTTAGGATTACAATTTTTGAGATTATTTTAATTTAAGTTTTAAATTTTTGTTACATTTCTAAAAACACGTGGTATCATCATATACACATTTCAAAATAATTATGATGCTATATTTGTCACAGCTAATATGGAACCCATGCATTCCACATTCGTTATTATATGCAATAATTACTTGATTGTCTTAATTTACAGTTATACTCACGTGTGATATATTTTGTGTGCTACTGCTGCTATCCTCCGTCGTTGAGCGGTTCCAGTAATGCAACTTCCCCACTGAGGGTCAAATAAAGATATTCTTATTATTAACATTAAAGCAGAAAAAGCAACACATTAAGTCAAAATATCTGCAGTAGTTTACGTTTTTACTCTGATGAAAATTAGGATGTTTTAATGTCATGAGGGGATACTTTATCAACACCTCAAATAAGGACATTTAGAATGAAAATAGTATTATAATAAATAAACTTTTACATAGAGGGTGTCCAATATTAATTGCAAACTTTATTTCTTTTTTCTAAGGTTTACTTCATTAAAACACATTATCTTTTCTTTTACTGTGTTGTTCATCACACATGTTCTGCCCTATTACCAGACAGTTCTTTTAAGTCACCTGTTTCCATTTCCTGCCAACCATCACTGACTTTGAGCTTTGGGTCACTAAAAACGCTTATACTTGAAACCACAAGGTGGAGGCAGAGCTCTGCCAATTTCTTTCAGCCAGTTGTCTGTGTAGTGTTGATTTTTTTTCCTCCGATTCACCATTTAGAGTTTTTTTCTCCCAGCACTAAGAGTGGAAATTACCATTAAAAAAACACACACAAGCAGTTTTGGCATAAAGGAACGTTTTCACATTAAATCTGTTGTATTCTGAATTGAGTTTAAATCAGTTTTCCATTCATAACTAAAATTGAAATATTATGCAAGAAAAGAAAAGTTTGAAATCATTGAACAGGATTATTTACACACACACACGCACGCACGCACGCACACGCACGCGCGCACACAGGTGCACACAAACACACACACGAATGAAATAAATTATAAGTTTAGCACGAACATCAGAATTTTCCTTAAATTTAAAGGTGGATGAAGTAAGAGCTACATCCTGTGGCCAGATTTGGGTACTGCAGTTCATGTATTAAAACCATCGACATATAAATATAGGACAATGGGTTTCCATAGACTCCAAAAACACATTTTTGTGCTAAAATGGGAGGTGGCCACCACCGCCATTTTGACCGTGTCACAGGTTCCGTCAAGCCCAGACAATTCCACAAAAGGGACGAGAGGAGGAGCTGAGGGTGGGGCTGTAAGGCTGGGATCAACTGACGACACCCGGTCAAGCTAACCTGAAGCTAACCCAAAGCTAACGTGGAGGTGGGAGCTAAGCTAACCGGAGTTAACTTTGCACAACACCAGAGCTTCTGAGTCAGAGATGCGCTGGGCTGACCGCTGGGTAAAACCGGGTGGAACACAGAGGTCTCTCGAAAGCTGCTGAAAGCCGGCAGCCCGCACAGCACACAGAAGCCGCCATCAGACAGAGATGCGCCGAGCTGCGGGGAGGGGAGAACCAGGTGGAAAACATCGGTCCCCCGAGAGCTCCACAAGCCGATAGTCGGAACCCAGCTCCACCAACATGTTATATTTCAACCCATTTTCTAAAGTGCAGCATTATGTTAAATGCACTGGGCTTTACCCTGTTACATTTACATTTCATGGTTAAACAGTACATGTTAAAATCTAAGCTCAGCTCGGCAGTGACCTAAAATACATAAATATAATTTTACTTACCGAAAAAAATGAAGTGGAGACTCCTTGGACGCTCTATTACTGCAATTAACGCCACAGCAAGTCATTTTGTCCAACAATTGCACTAAAAATATCCAAAAAAAAGAATACACAAACACACAAACTCAAAATCCCGAAACAGTTTCCAAGCCAGACCGAGGCTCAGACTGAGGTCTTTCCACGGAGCTAGCTCTGTGGTCACGTGGGTCTGATGCTCATTAATTATACAGAATTTTAGACTTTTAATACACTTAAACAGAAGAGTGAGAAAAAAATTCACCCCCCTTAGAGTTGTCATGAGTGTAAACTAGATCATTTAAACAAAAACCATGTTTTGGTACCAGGCTGTAAACATGTTTATTTCTGCTGTGAAATTGGTATTTTTAACATGGGAGTCATTGAGGATTTGCTTGCTTCTGACACCAGCCCCCAGTGGATGAGGGTGGAACTGCAATTTTTGGTACTTCCGGGTTGGCCTCAATTTTTGAGCCGCATTGTGGGGGGCTTGATTAAAACAAACGAGTCTGCTCTGAGAAACTGTTGCCAGTTATGGCTCAGCGCCAGATGGTTCTAGATGACTGAGTGAAGGCAAGTCATACACTGAGTTGATAATTAGATAAATACATTTCACTGTAATATTGAGTTGTTGGGATTTTTAAAAAAAGTAGCTTGAGATATTTTAAGGGCAGACTTTTTTTTTACTGTTAGCATTGTTAGCTCAACATTAGCCTCTAGCCTTCTTCACCCAAGATTAGAGTAAATTAAATAAATATGCCGTGGCTTCTTATGGGTATGAAAAATAACTTCTGAGTCGCTCCTGTTTACTGGCTAATATTCTGTCCACAACTCTGCTGCTTTTTGAT